TGTGTGTGTGTGTGTGTGTGTGTGTGTGTGTGTGTTGTGGATCTGTAGTGAAGGAAGAAGGAGGGATCAAACTTAGAACAGTTTTCATTCTCAGACGTGAGCTAAGGCCTGACTCTCAGAGCTCTGAAACAGGGCTGCACAATTAATCTGAATATTATTGCAAAATAGACTAGTACGATATCCATATTGTACTGAATGTGTGAAATGATCTAAATGAAGTGTTGGGATGCTGCAGAGAAGTCCTGGCCTACAAACGTCAAACATATCTTATTGTTTGGTAAAGACCTTCTCTAAGAAATCCCACATTAATCAGTTTATTATGTTATTCAATGATAATATAAGCAATGTTTTAAAAATGATCATTCTCTCTAATGTCACAAATCATGTAGCAATTGCAACATCAGTCAATAAAAGTAGTTGTTGTTTTCCAAACCGTGCAGCCCTGTGTCCTACAAAGATGTGAGGCTGCGTCATCTTCACTTCAAGATTTATATATTTGTATCTAAAGCAGAAAGATGCTCAGCCTGCTGTTTGGAGTCAGACTGGGAGTTACGGCTCTAAATCTAAACAATGGCTTCTTTAAAGCACTTGACGATAAATCTGACTAACAGATACTGACTATATTCTCCTACTTCTGTATACTGGGCTCAGTGTGTTGCTTAGGAGTGTACCCATAACGGCGGCCTTCTTAGGAGAGGAGACAGACGGGGAGGCGCCTGCTGTCCGGCAGCATGAGTGAACAACAGATACAAACAGAAGTGGGTCATACATGAAGAAATGGATCGATTGATTAAAACATGTGTAAATATTTGATCAGACCCTTTTGGCTGGACATGTTTTAACAATATTGCAAATTCTTAACTCGTTTGTAGATACCAAAACTTGACATGTACTTCTTCCTTTATTTTAGGAATACAAACATGCTTTTTGTTTTGTTAAAACCAATCATCATTTTGAATGTAAGAGCATTCAATTCTGTCTAAAATATGTCAAATTTGATTGAAATCAGAGACTGAAAGCAAGCAGTTATTAGTACTTTGTGATACGGACACTTTTAAAACTTTACCAAAGAAGGTTTTAAACATTTAACACTTCTCATGACAATAAAGTCCATTTTTGTAATTATCAGAGTTTGATTTGAGTGTGTTAAACGTCACAGGTTTTCAAACTATTCAAATGGAGAAGTTGCATATGAGTTGAACATGTTCAGACCAACACACAGCAGGAAGTCTGTATTTCACTGAGTCTCACCTGCACTCCCGGCGCTGCCCTCTCTGCGACCTCTGGAGCTGCTCTCTCGCCCCGACTTCACCCTCTGCAGGAGGAGAGAGAGAGGGAGCAGGATTAGGGACGATTAGGATTGACATGCAAACAAGGACACATCTTAATGGTGTTTAACTTTAGATATAATGTCCGGCAGTGGCTCAGTCAGTAGGGGCTTGGACTGTGAGCCGTAGGGTCGCCGGTTCAAGTCCCCGACCAGACCTACATATGGAGTGTGGACTTCTACTTGGAGAGGTCCCAGTTCACCTCCTGCCCTGCCGTGGTGGCCTTGAGCAAGGCACCGGACACCCCCCTTCCCCCCCCCCACTCCCCGGGCGCTGTACAATAGCTGCCCACTGCTCCTAGTGCTACACTCCTGGTACTAGGATGGGTTAAAAGCACATTTCACTGTGTGCTCTGCATGTGTGAGCATTAAAGAGGGGTTCATCCCTCCCAATTCTATAATTCAATTTATCACAACCGCTTTTAATCAAATTACGTTTCTGTGGTGAGAAGACCAAAACATTTCGTTGTAGATTTTTGGATTGTGACGACAGCTTTTTCCAATGCTGAGGATTTGTATTTGTCTCTCCGTCTGTGTCTCATTAATAAGTCAGTCCAAAACTATTTTTATTAAAGTTATGTGGATTGTCATGGTAAAATAAGAAATCTAAAATAAACAAAACATTAGATAGAACAGGGATTTAATCCTCCTTAATCATTCTCTCATCATTTCACACACTGTTGTTAAATGATCAGGATCAAGTCCAGTTATTTGGGAGATTGATGACTGAGTCTGAACTCTGGCTCTGTCTCTCAGGATTGTTCCTCTCAGCTGATTTAAGAGCAGCTGCTGATCCTCCAACTCCGTCTCTGATGGCACACGCCCCTGTTACTCTGAATCACACGTCTTCAAAACTGACCCCAGACCACAGGCCTTTCAAGGTGGGGTAGGTAAGAATGGAGAAACCAGCTCGAGTGCGCTAGAATTTGAAAGTACGCAGCCGAAAAAAATCTGCCCCTTCCTTCAGACTTCCTTCCAGAGCCCCTCCTCCAACACACACCAACGCGCACATGACCAATGAGGGTACGAGATAAGTTTGTGCCCAGATGGAAGGCTGACAGGCAGGTAGGCCATCCAGTTATTTTAGCCGTACCGGCTCAGATGATTGGTCATGCTTTTTACAGCGCCACGGCTTCCACAGATGAAATGTTTTTTATGTATTTATTGTCAAAGCATTTAATGTATTCATTGCTATCGGGAAGTTAAGAGCATTCCATGGAATATAACTAAAAGTGTTTCTGAAGTGAATTACTTACCCCACCTTTAAAGCCACCATAGATAGATATGCAGAAATAATTGAATTTGGTTATGAAATTTGGGGCTNAATAGTAGTCGAGTAGTCGACTAGTCGTTACGTCATAATAAAGACACACAAAGAGAGGTGTACAACTGTATTTTCTATTGGAACTCATACAGTAACATAATGTTACTGTATGAGTTCCAATAGAAAATACAGTTGTACACCTCTCTTTGTGTGTCTTTATTATGACGTAACGACTAGTCGACTACTCGACTACTATTTTGAAAAACTAGTCGACTAGTAAATATTGGTAGTTGTGAAACCCCTAACACACACACACTGAATCTGGCTGTGGAAAGCTGGCTCATCAGCACATTTCAAACGCAATCCAGTCTGTCAGAGTTGCCAAAAACTGTAACAAGGCGCAGCTTTCTCCCTCCTCTCAGCTGAGTCCTGTAGTGAAGTTACATTTATATCATGCACCTGTTATGTGCTCCACCCTGACACCCCCCCCCGTCCCCCCGTCCTGATGAATTAGATCAGAAAACCTCAGATGTGCGTGTTTGCTTTTGTTTCATTCTGACGTCTTCTTTTACCAGACCCAGTCACAGTAACACTCCTTCAATGTGAACCCTTGAATACCAGCTGTAACGCTTTTTGACGTTGTTTAATTAACCTCCAAACCCTTTCTAACTTTCTTACGACACACCAGAGACGGATGTTAAAGCAGGTGAGAGAATGAAAGGTATAAAGTGACAACAAATAGTTCTCATCAGCTCTCTGCACTTCTTTCTCTCTGTGCCGTTTGGTGTTCTATCCGTGTGCTTTAGTGACACTCTGTAATCTCTCTTTCTGCTCCTCCGGCTTCCCCTGTCCTCTCTCTGCTTCCTCTCTGCTGCTCAGTCTCTCAGCCTGAGTCTCAACAAAGCAGTCCTCTGCTGGACTCGGGGAGAGGTAGGTAACGACATCAACACAGATTATTTAAGCAAAACTCGTAGGATAGTTCTGGGGGAACACGTGGGCAACCAGACATTTAGAAAAAAACGTAGCGTGCTTGATTTAATTTCTCATTTGTCGTTGATAACAATTGATCATCTGTAACTGAACCAAATGGTGTTGCTCTCCTTTTTGTCATCGCAGTAACAAATGAAATTACACTACAACGTTCATGAATCAAAATCACTTCTAACGTGCAAGTTTTCATGGATTTTAAGCAATGATGCATTCCTTTTGCAATATTCCTGTCAGTGCTTAAAATTGTATCATATATATATATATATATATGTGTGTATGTATATATATATATATATATAACAAAAATATAAACGCAACACTTTTGTTTTTGCTCCCATTTTTCATGAGATGAACTCAAAGATCTAAAACATTTTCTACATACACAAAATAACCATTTCTCTCAAATATTGTTCACAAATCTGAAAAAATCTGTGATAGTGAGCACTTCTCCTTTGCCGAGATAATCCATCCCACCTCACAGGTGTGGCATATCAAGATGCTGATTAGACAGCATGATTATTTCACAGGTGTGCCTTAGGCTGGCCACAATAAAAGGCCACTCTGAAACGTGCATTTTTGCTTTATTGGGGGGGTCTG